TCTGATCGTCTCCTCAAAACTCCACTCTTCTCCCCCTCTCCACTCCGCTCCACTCCACTCCACTCCACACCTGACCACACCACTCCACTTCACTCCACACCTCACCACTCCACACCTCACCACACCACTCCACTTCACTCTACTCCACACCTCACCACACCACTCCACTCCACTCCAAACCTCACCACTCCACACCTCACCACACCACACCACACCACTCCACTCCACTCCACTCCACTCCACTCTACTCCACACATCTCCTCTCCACTCCACTCCACTCCACACCACACCACTCCACTCCACTTCTGTCTGCTCTGATCGACTCCTCAAAACTCCACTCTTCTCCCCCCTCACCACTCCACTCCACTCCACTCCACTCCACTCCACTCCACTCCACTCCACTTCTGTCTGCTCTGATCGTCTCCTCAAAACTCCACTCTTCTCCCCCTCTCCACTCCGCTCCACTCCACTCCACTCCACACCTCACCACACCACACCACTCCACTTCACTCCACACCTCACCACTCCACACCTCACCACACCACTCCACTCCACTCTACTCCACACCTCACCACACCACTCCACTCCACTCGACACCTCACCACTCCACACTTCACCACTCCACTCCACTCCACTCCACTCCACTCCACTCCACTCCACTCCACTCCACTCCACACCTCTCCTCTCCTCTCCACTCCACTCCACTCCACTCCACTCCACTCCACACCTCTCCTCTCCTCTCCTCTCCTCTCCTCTCCACTCCACTCCACTCCGCTCTACTCCACTCCACTCCACTCCACTCCACTCCACTTCTGTCTGCTCTGATCAGTCTCCTCAAAACTAACCTCTTCTCCCCCCTCTCCACTCCCCTCCACTCCACTCCACTCCACTCCACTCCACACCACACCACACCACACCACACCACACCACACCACACCACACCACACCACACCACACCACACCACACCACACCACACCACACCACACCACACCACACCAATCCTCTCCACTCCACTCCACTCCACTCCACTCCACTCCAATCCACTTCTGTCTGCTCTGATCAGTCTCCTCAAAACTCCACTCTTCTCCCCCCTCTCCACTCCCCTCCCCCCCTCTCCGCTCCACTCCACTCCACTCCACACCTCTCCTCTCCTCTCCTCTCCTCTCCACTCCACTCCACTCCACTCCACACCACTCCACTCCACTCCACTCCACTCCACTCCACTCCTCTCCACTCCTCTCCTCTCCTCTCCACTCCACTCCACTCCACTCCACTCCACACCTCTCCTCTCCTCTCCACACCACACCACACCACACCACACCACACCACTCCACACCTCACCACTCCACACCTCACCGCACCGCTCCGCTCCACTCCACTCCACTCCACTCCACTCCACACCTCTCCTCTCCTCTCCTCTCCTCTCCACTCCACTCCACTCCACTCCACACCTCTCCTCTCCTCTCCTCTCCTCTCCTCTCCTCTCCTCTCCTCTCCTCTCCACTCCACTCCACTCCCGTCCACTCCACTCCACTCCACTTCTGTCTGCTCTGATCAGTCTCCTCAAAACTAACCTCTTCTCCCCCCTCTCCACTCCCCTCCACTCCACTCCACTCCACTCCACACCACACCACACCACACCACACCACACCACACCACACCACACCACACCACACCACACCACACCACACCACACCACACCACACCACACCACACCACACCACACCAATCCTCTCCACTCCACTCCAATCCACTTCTGTCTGCTCTGATCAGTCTCCTCAAAACTCCACTCTTCTCCCCCCTCTCCGCTCCCCTCCCCCCCTCTCCGCTCCACTTCACTCCACACCACACCACACCACACCACACCACACCACACCACACCACACCACACCACACCACACCTCACCAATCCTCTCCACTCCACTCCACTCCACTCCAATCCACTTCTGTCTGCTCTGATTGTCTCCTCAAAACTCCACTCTTCTCCCCCTCTCAACTCCGCTCCGCTCCACTCCACTCCACTCCACTCCACTCCACTCCACTCCACTCCACTCCACTCCACTCCACACCTCACCAATCCTCTCCACTCCACTCCAATCCACTTCTGTCTGCTCTGATCGTCTCCTCAAAACTCCACTCTTCTCCCCCTCTCCACTCCGCTCCACTCCACTCCACTCCACACCTCACCACACCACTCCACTTCACTCCACACCTCACCACTCCACATCTCACCACACCACTCCACTCCACTCTACTCCACACCTCACCACACCACTCCACTCCACTCCAAACCTCACCACTCCACACCTCACCACACCACACCACACCACTCCACTCCACTCCACTCCACTCCACTCTACTCCACACATCTCCTCTCCACTCCACTCCACTCCACACCACACCACTCCACTCCACTTCTGTCTGCTCTGATCGACTCCTCAAAACTCCACTCTTCTCCCCCCTCACCACTCCACTCCACTCCACTCCACTCCACTCCACTCCACTCCACTCCACTCCACTCCACTTCTGTCTGCTCTGATCGTCTCCTCAAAACTCCACTCTTCTCCCCCTCTCCACTCCGCTCCACTCCACTCCACTCCACACCTCACCACACCACACCACTCCACTTCACTCCACACCTCACCACTCCACACCTCACCACACCACTCCACTCCACTCTACTCCACACCTCACCACACCACTCCACTCCACTCGACACCTCACCACTCCACACCTCACCACACCACACCACTCCACTCCACTCCACTCCACTCCACTCCACTCCACTCCACTCCACTCCACTCCACTCCACACCTCTCCTCTCCTCTCCACTCCACTCCACTCCACTCCACTCCACACCTATCCTCTCCTCTCCTCTCCTCTCCTCTCCTCTCCTCTCCTCTCCTCTCCTCTCCTCTCCTCTCCACTCCACTCCACTCCACTCCGCTCTACTCCACTCCACTCCACTCCACTCCACTCCACTCCACTCCACTTCTGTCTGCTCTGATCAGTCTCCTCAAAACTAACCTCTTCTCCCCCCTCTCAACTCCCCTCCACTCCACTCCACTCCACTCCACACCACACCACACCACACCACACCACACCACACCACACCACACCACACCACACCACACCACACCACACCAATCCTCTCCACTCCACTCCACTCCACTCCACTCCACTCCAATCCACTTCTGTCTGCTCTGATCAGTCTCCTCAAAACTCCACTCTTCTCCCCCCTCTCCACTCCCCTCCCCCCCTCTCCGCTCCACTTCACTCCACACCACACCACACCACACCACACCACACCACACCACACCACACCACACCACACCACACCACACCACACCACACCACACCACACCACACCACACCACACCACACCTCACCAATCCTCTCCACTCCACTCCAATCCACTTCTGTCTGCTCTAATTGTCTCCTCAAAACTCCACTCTTCTCCCCCTCTCCACTCCGCTCCGCTCCACACCACACCACACCACTCCACTCCACTCCACTCCACTCCACTCCACTCCACACCTCACCAATCCTCTCCACTCCACTCCAATCCACTTCTGTCTGCTCTGATCGTCTCCTCAAAACTCCACTCTTCTCCCCCTCTCCACTCCGCTCCTCTCCACTCCACTCCACTCCACACCTCACCACACCACTCCACTTCACTCCACACCTCACCACTCCACACCTCACCACACCACTCCACTCCACTCCACTCTACGCCACACCTCACCACACCACTCCACTCCACTCCAAACCTCACCACTCCACACCTCACCACACCACACCACTCCACTCCACTCCACTCCACTCGACTCCACTCCACTCCACTCCACACCTCTCCTCTCCACTCCACTCCACTCCACTCCACTCCACTCCACACCACACCACACCACACCACTCCACTCCACTCCACTCCTGTCTGCTCTGATCAACTCCTCAAAACTACCCTCTTCTCCCCCCTCTCCTCTCCCCTCCACTTCACTCCCCTCCACTCCACTCCACTCCACTCCACTCCACTCCACTCCACTCCTGTCTGCTCTGATCGACTCCTCAAAACTACCCTCTTCTCCCCCCTCTCCACTCCCCTCCACTTCACTCTCCTCCACTCCTCTCCACTCCACTCCGCTCCACTCCACTCCACTCCACTCCGCTCCGCTCCGCTCCACTCCACTTCACTCCACACCTCACCACTCCACACCTCACCACACCACTCCACTCCACTCTACTCCACACCTCACCACACCACTCCACTCCACTCCACACCTCACCACTCCACACCTCACCACACCACACCACTCCACTCCACTCCACTCCACTCCACTCCACTCCACTCCACTCCACTCCACTCCACTCTACTCCACACCTCTCCTCTCCACTCCACTCCACTCCACACCACACCACTCCACTCCACTTCTGTCTGCTCTGATCGACTCCTCAAAACTACCCTCTTCTCCCCCCTCTCCACTCCCCTCCACTTCACTACCCTCTTCTCCCCCCTCTCCACTCCCCTCCACTACACTCCCCTCCACTCCTCTCCACTCCACTCCACTCCACTCCACTCCACTCCACTCCTGTCTGCTCTGATCGACTCCTCAAAACTACCCTCTTCTCCCCCCTCTCCACTCCCCTCCACTTCACTCCCCTCCACTCCTCTCCACTCCACTCCACTCCACTCCACTCCACTCCACTCCACTTCTGTCTGCTCTGATCGACTCCTCAAAACTACCCTCTTCTCCCCCCTCTCCGCTCCCCTCCACTTCACTACCCTCTTCTCCCCCCTCTCCACTCCCCTCCACTTCACTCCCCTCCACTCCTCTCCACTCCACTCCACTCCACTCCACTCCACTCCACTCCACTCCACTCCACTCCTGTCTGCTCTGATCGACTCCTCAAAACTACCCTCTTCTCCCCCCACTCCACTCCCCTCCACTTCACTCCCCTCCACTCCTCTCCACTCCACTCCACTCCACTCCACTCACTCCACTCCACTCCACTCCACTCCACTTCTGTCTGCTCTGATCGACTCCTCAAAACTACCCTCTTCTCCCCCCTCTCCACTCCACTCCACTCCACACCTCACCAATCCTCTCCACTCCACTCCAATCCACTTCTGTCTGCTCTTATCGTCTCCTCAAAACTCCACTCTTCTCCCCCTCTCCACTCTGCTCCACTCCGCTCCACACCTCACCACACCACTCCACTCCACTCCACACCTCACCACTCCACACCTCACCACACCACTCCACTCCACTCCACTCCACTCCACTCCACTCCACTCCACTCCACACCTCTCCACTCCCCTCCACTCCACTCCACACCACTCCACTCCACTCCACTCCACTCCACTCCACTCCACTCCACTCCACTTCTGTCTGCTCTGATCGACTCCTCAAAACTACCCTCTTCTCCCCCCTCTCCACTCCTCTCCACTCCACTCCAATCCAATCCACTCCACTCCTCTCCACTCCAATCCAATCCAATCCACTCCACTCCACTCCACTCCACTCCACTCCACTCCACTCCACTCCACTCCACTCCACTTCTGTCTGCTCTGATCGACTCCTCAAAACTACCCTCTTCTCCCCCCTCTCCACTCCCCTCCACTTCACTCCCCTCCACTCCACTCCACTCCACCCACTCCACTCCACTCCACTCCACTCCACTCCACTCCACTCCACTCCACTCCGCTCCACTCCACTCCACTCCACTCCACTTCTGTCTGCTATGATCGACTCCTCCAAACTCCACTCTCACAGGATGCACATACTGCAGTACATTATGCAGTCTAAGGGTTTGAAACCAGTGTACAACCATCATCAGCGTGGGAACTGATTGCTTCCTTGTGTATCAGGACAGGAATATAAGTGTGATAGACCGAGATGCGACAGAGATTCACCGGGACTTCGTGGTAGAGCTGGAAGGATATGCCAGCAAGTTCTTCCGATACATCCCAGCCACAGGCCAGCTGGCAGTCAGAACCCCTGGCTCTATTGACAGAGAGTTTAACGAGGCATTTGAAATGAAGGTAAGTTGGAGTGAGTGAGGAGTTTTTGTGCCACTTTTAGCAATATTCCAGCAATATCGCAGCAATTCCAGAAATGGGCTTCACCCTTTGTACACATGTGAGGAATTACGTTTTAGGTGTGACAAGCGAAAGCTTCAACCACTTGTCTTTCCCAGGTAATTTGGAAGAGATGGGTTGGGTCTCTAAAATATCCTACTGATAGCTATGTCAGGAATATTCATATGATTCTGTTAATGTTGCTTCAAAGATTTTGCTCTGGAGGTGTGCAATGTTTGTATAAAGAAAATATTTGTACAAACCTCCAACTGAATAATGGGAGTCAAGACATGAAGACCTGTGAAGATCTGGGGTAGAATAGGTCGTCAGAAACCCATGCTTGCCGTAAAAGGCGACTATGCTTGTAGTAAGAGGCGGCTAACGGGATCGGGTGGTCAGGCTCGCTGACTTGTTTGATGTATGTCATCGTATCTCAATTGCGTGGATCGATGCTCATGATATCAATCACTGGATTGTCTGGTCAAGACTCGATTATTTATACAGACCACCGTGATATAGCTGGAATATATCTGAGTGTGGCGTAAAACAACCAACCAACCAACCAACCAACCAACCACTGTAAAAGTGCAATCTTGAACATGACGTTAAGCCTGATTTCACCTCCCCCACCACCTAAACTTTCGATTTAGTGAACATACCAGCAGATATCCTTGATAAAGCTTCTCCTTGACTTGCCCCAGATCGTGGCCAGAGATCGCAGCTTCAGCTGGCTATCTTCCACTGCTACCCTACGCATAGATGTTGCCGATAGCAATGACAATTACCCAGAATTCCTTGAGACAACCTTCACCTTCACACTACCTTCTGTAGTCAATGCTGGGGACGTTGCTGGGAAGGTTGTAGCCAGGGACATCGACGCCACGGAGCCCAACAACAAGATGCTCTATCTTCTACAGGACAACCCTCTGGGAAAGTTTAAGCTTGATATCAACACAGGTGGGAATTTTTTAGTTATGTCACTTTTATGTCAGTTTTGTCGATCTTTCTTTGCTGTTTTTTGTCATAACAAATGAAACAAAAGATTTCTCTGTGACTACAGTAAAGCGTGGGTGCAGGTGGCCCAGTCATCATAAGTGCTGCAGTTAACTGTGCTGAGTTGCATCCCTTAGGCATGCCAGAAAGTTAAGAGTGTTGGTTCGAATACCAGATTCATCCCGATTATGTTTCCACATTTCTGTCAGCACCATCTTGTGTTCATGTGTTTCACCAAGTGGTAAACATGTCAGACCTGTGTACCAGGGTGTGGAGTCATCCCACAGATGACATCCTTACCTTGTCAGCTTGCTGACGGGGTTAACCTCTTTGGTCATGTGGATAAAGTCAGAAGGTCCATGGGTCGAATCCCAACACGGGACTCGGAAATTTTATGGCCTCTACATTGGCGCCCAACATGGGGCTGAGAAACGTGCGACAAAGTGTACCTATACCTGGCCTGATGAAACACAGTAAACTCCTATTTTCATTTAGACAGTTAAATACATATATACCCAAAACAAGTTAAAGATCACTCACAATCGGAAGGCAATACCCACCAGCCATGACAGATTAACTATACTCATATGAACACATTGAGTGTTCTTTAACTTCTTTTTTAAACAGTAGTATACATAAAATCATTCACACAAGAAAAATCACTAGCTCAGAAAATGTTGATAACTATTGATACAGGGGGCACGGGTGGCCCAGTCGTCTAAGGTGTCACAATTCGCTGTGCAGAGTTGCGTCCCTTGGGCAAGCCAGAAACCTATGAGTGTGGGTTCAAATCCCGGTTCACCCCGATTATGTTTCTAGGTTTGTCAGTAAATGGTAAACGTCTTAGACCTGCATCACTTCGGGCTTTCCTCCCACATTAAGCTTATCATATTACTTATGTGTTATAACTGTTCACATTCAGAGGTCACATTACTGCACAACACTGTGTTGGTTATGGGACAGGTTTTGGAACAACAGCCTTACAAACACTGATGATAAGTTTTCTGTTTTCAATTGTTCAGTCAAATGTATGTTGACATAACCTGATTATGTTAATAGAATTGCCAATAGTTTGAAGACAATGATTCAGCTGGTGGTGAGCTCAGTAGGGTATATCGAGGAGCCGTTGAGATTCCATGCATCTGAAGTCACATTATTCAAACACAGCCTCTAGCCTCCTCATCCCAGCCTAGTTGTTAAAGCGTTCGATCGTCACGCCTAAGACCCAGGTTCTATTCCCAACATGGGTACAATGTGTGAAGCCCATTTCTGGTGTCCCCTGCTGTGATGTTGCTGGAATTTTGCTAAAAGTGGCGTTAAACCTCACTCACTCACTCACTCACTCACTCACTCACTCACTCACTCACTCACTCACTCACTCACTCACTCACTCACTCACTCACTCACTCACTCACTCACTCACTCACTCACTCACTCACTCTTGATACAGCCCAGTTGACATTATGTAAATACTTGTGTTCATCATCAGGCCCTATTCCACAAATCGATATGAGAGCTAGGACAATTATAACTGCTTTTCTTTAACATAAACTTATAGTAGTTGTAGAGCATAGATCACCCTGTGCAACTGAGCCCATGGCTGGTACACGTCAGACTGTTTCTGATACATTACAGGAGACTTGATTCTGCTGCCAAGTTTCTTCTCCAAGCCTCGCAAGGATGTGTACAGGGTGACTGTGGAGGCTCGAGACCTCGGCTTCCCCTCGCGCAAAGCTCAGACCAAGGTCATAGTCCGAGCACCCTACTTCGACTTCAACGACCATCCCCCTGATTTCAAAGGGGAGACGATGTTTGTAACGCGGGAGGAGATTGCAGTGGGAGCAGTTGTTGGTCGCTTGAATGTTGTGGATGCGGACAAGGATGGGAGCAGTGGTGTGATGCTGGAGGTTCTACACACTGGCACCACAGGTAGGCCGAGTTGCTTGATATATCGTCTGCTAAGCTAGTTCAACTGCGCATATCGGAAGTGGGGCTCCTGGGAAAATCTTGTGTTGTGAAAAAGTGTGTGAGCATGTGCCGGCCGGCGTGACAGGTTGTTTTTGTGTGAGTGGTGTAAGCTGAGGAAGAATAAAGAGAAGCAAAGTGTCTACAGCGGTTGGTTTTGGTTATCAGACTGGCATTAACAGTTGGTGCTGCATACATCTTCCTGAGGCAGGGGAGTTAAGTGACGGTAAAAGTCCAGTTTCAACCCTTCCCGAACGAGGGATGGATCGATCGTAGCGCCACCAGTGGCTAATATGAGTTATGTCCCTTCTATGTCCCTCCTATTGCATTTGCTTCCTACAAAATGGTGGCACCCAGTCAACATGATCTTATTGATAATCAAGATCTATATTGTAATAAATAGGGCATCTAATCCCTTTAGCTTCTTGAAAAAATGTGAAAAAAATCACATTATCTGTTTTCACAGATTCCTGCAATTGTTTGTTTGTTTGTGCTGCATAGTGCTCCACAGATCAGCAGGACTTGTTTGTTTGTTTGTTGGTGTTGCAAAGTTCTTCACGGGTCAGCGTGACTTGTTTGTTTGTGTGTTGGTGTTGCAAAGTTCTTCACAGGTCAGCAGGACTTGTTTCTTTGTTTGTTTGTTGGTGCTGCACACTGCCTGAGATCAGCAGGACATGCATGTTTGTTTGTTTGTTCATGGCTGAAAAATTAATCAACATTTGCTAGGCTAAAGTCTTCCATTAACATTCCATTAACATTTGCTAGGCTAAAGTCTTCCATTAACATTCCATTAACATTTGCTAGGCTAAAGTCTTCCATTATCATTCCATTAACATTTGCTAGGCTAAAGTCTTCCATTAACATTCCATTAACATTTGCTAGGCTAAAGTCTTCCATTATCATTCCATTAACATTTGCTAGGCTAAAGTCTTCCATTAACATTTGCCAGGCTAAAGTCTTCCATTAACATTTGCCAGGCTAAAGTCTTCCATTAACACTTGCCAGGCTAAAGTCTTCCATTAACATTTGCCAGGCTAAAGTCTTCCATTAACATTTGCCAGGCTAATGTCTTCCATTAACATTTGCTAGGCTAAAGTCTTCCATTAACATTCCATCAACATTTGCTAGGCTAAAGTCTTCCATTATCATTCCATTAACATTTGCTAGGCTAAAGTCTTCTATTAACATTTGCCAGGCTAATGTCTTCCATTAACATTTGCCAGGCTAAAGTCTTCCATTAACATTTGCCAGGCTAAAGTCTTCCATTAACACTTGCCAGGCTAAAGTCTTCCATTAACATTTGCCAGGCTAAAGTCTTCCATTAACATTTGCCAGGCTAAAGTCTTCCATTAACATTTGCTAGGCTAAGTAATGACAACTTATTAGGAACTGCCTCAGTTTAGTGGGCATCCGGCTGAATCCTTGTTTGTTTGTTTGTTTGTCAGTTAGTTCAACAATGGTAGAAAATTCAATATGGGTATTCATTTGTAGTAATTATGGTGCTATGCAGGAGTGACTGGATTGCCTAATAGTTAGAGCATTGGCTCATGATGCTTAGGTCCCTGGTTCGATACCCTTCATTGGTAATATGTGTGAAGTTCATTCTTGGCTGGAATATTAAAGAATGGATTTAATAGTGTTTGTGTTTATGGAGATATAAACGTAAAAAAACAGTGTGTAAATCCGCTTACTCTTCCATTAACAACAATGTTAGTCTTCCATTAATAACACTGTTAGTCTTCTGTTAATGACACTGTTAGTCTTCTATTAATAACACTGTTAGGCTTCTGTTAATACCACTGTTAGTCTTCCATTAATAACACTGTTAGTCTTCTGTTAATAAGAATGTTAGTCTTCCATTAACAATACTGTTTGTCTTCTGTTAATAACAATGTTAGTCTTCCATTGATAACACTGTTTGTCTTCCATTAATAACACTGTTAGGCTTCTGTTAATACCACTGTTACTCTTGGGGCGGTCGGGTTGCCTAGTGGTTAAAGCGTTCGGTCGTCACGCCGAAGACCCGGGTTCGATTCCCGACATGGGTACAATGTGTGAAGCCCATTTCTGGTGTCCCCCGCCGTGATATTGCTGGAATATTGCTAAAAGCGGCGTAAAACCATACTCACTCACTCACTCACTGTTACTCTTCTGTTAATAACACTGTTTGTCTTCTGTTAATACCACTGTTAGTCTTCCATTGATAACACTGTTTGTCTTCCATTATTAACACTGTTACTATTCTGTTAATACCAGTTAATCTTCCATTGATAACACTTTTAGTCATCCATTAATAACAATATTAGTGTTCTGTTAATACCACTGTAAGTGTTTGTGTTTATGGAGATACAAAAGTACAAAAAACAGTGTGCATAGTGTGTAAATCCACTTACTCTTCCATTAACAACACTCTTTGTCTTCTGTTAATAACACTGTTAGTCTTCTATTAAAAGTAGTGTTAGTCTTCCATTAATAATGCTGTTAGTCTTCTGTTAATGACACTGTTAGTCTTCCATTAATAACAGTTAGTCATCCATTAATGACACTGTTAGTCTTCTGTTCATAACACTGTTAATCTTCTATCAATAGTAGTGTTAGTCTTCCATTATTAACACTCTTTGTCTTCTGTTAATAACACTGTTAGTCTTCTATTAAAAGTAGTGTTAGTCTTCCATTAATAACGCTGTTAGTCTTCTGTTAATGACACTGTTAGTCTTCCATTAATAACACTGTTAGTCTTCTGTTAATAACACTGTTAGTCTTCTATTAATGGTAGTGTTAGTCTTCCATTATTAACACTGTTAGGCTTCTGTTAATAAAACTGTTAGTCTTCCATTAATAACACTGTTAGGCTTCTGTTAATACCACTGATAGTCTTCCATTAATAACACTGTCAGTCTTCTATTCATAGTAGTGTTAGTCTTCTGTTAATAGCACTGTTTTATCTCATCTGTTAATACCACTGTTTTATCTCATCTGTTAATACCACTGTTTTATCTCATCTGTTAATAACACTGTTTCTCTTCCAGTGCCTTTCAAGGTGGAAGCTGACGGTGCCATCACGTGCTCAGAACGTATAGATCGAGACCTTGGACCCAAATATTACACCTTCAAAGTCCGAGCAACAGACACAGGAACACCTCCATTCAATGTCACCAGAGATATTAGTGTTATCGTTGATGACATCAACGACAATCCACCCAAATTTCCTCTGCCAAAATACAAACACATGGTGTCGGATATCTTCCCACCCCGAACAGTAGTGGCGACTCCCTTTGCGTTTGACAATGTGGATGAGCGAGACTCTGTGTACCATTACACAATGAAAGGGGATGACCAGGGCTATTTTCATATCAATGAAAAAACAGGGGTCGTTGTCACCACTGATATGGCCTCGACCCTTGACCCTCAGACTATGACATACCAGATCGAGGCTGTAGATCTGTATAATAAATCACTCAAGGC